ATCATAGTCCCTGTGAGGCCCTTTGGCTACCTATTTAATACTGTGATGCTCTGTCGCTGTGGCACTCTATAGCCCCTTTTTGCTTTCTTTTTCTTTCCGTGCTTTCTGATAATTTATTTATTTATTTATTCTGTCTATTTCTCTGTAGTTAGAATGTAAGCTCCATGAAAGCAGGGAATTTTGCCCACTTTGTTCACTGATGCATTTATATACTTGTGTCTAGTTATGCTAGTACTCATTTTAAAAAAAAAACTACCACTAGTATTTATGACAAGGCCTCGCACATAATAGATCATGGATAATTATGTGTTAAGTGAATGAATGAATGAGGCCTCCCTGACGCTCCTACAAAGAGCATAGGTGCTCTTCTCATCTCTTAGTGTGAATCCACCCTCAACTATATGTTAAACTTAAACCTAGTCAACTCATTCTAACCAAGGGGTTAACTTAGTTACTGATGAATCCAATTCAGTTAATTCCACTAATTAGACCTGTGTTGAATGTGTTCTTTGGATTCAGCCCCATGTTTTATAAACCAGTTTCAGAGCCAGTTCCAAAGAGAAGAGGATGCACACTTTGTCTCAAAGGGTTCATGAGTCCCCAGTCAGGAGTCCTATGACTTCAGCCATAAGAGGAAGGCTGGGGGAAAACACAAAAGTTTGAACAGCGGATGGAGGTAGAATTCATCTGGAAGTGACCAGTGAAGTTGTTGGAGAGGTTTTACAGAGGAAGGGAGAGGCAAACTACATTATGTCAAAATATAAAATAGCTGTATGTGAGTATATATCTAAAGAAGACTATTTTGACAGTACAATGAAAACAACAACACTGTGTGGTTCCGGTTAGTGTCCATAGGCCAGGTGCCTGGTTCAGAGCCTTGTTAGTGACTGTGACATTAGCGAAGCAACCTTAGACACCATCTCATGCACCTTAAATAAAGGTGCTTGACAGACGAGTGTCCACATCTTCATGACTTGTTCCGGCTCTACAGGTGGAGTGAGAAGTGCCAGAGAGGAGTGTCTTCTCCATGGGTGAATGAGCCTCCTCTGGTTCTTGGCAAGGAGGAACAGTGTAGAGTAAGCATGGCACGCTTGTAAGACAATATCTGGTTTCCAGCAGCAGCTGTCCAACTTCTGAGGTTCTGTGCTCTCTACACAGCCTCAGCCTACATGACATCCTCTCAGTTTAAAGTTAGGTACTAGTGATAATCCTGCCAGAAGCTCTTGATGTGATCAAGATGGGGCTCCCTGGACTCATACATTAGGATCTGGAGCAAGAAGCCTTACCCAGCTCTGTTTTTGGACTGTCCCTCACACAGTGTAATAGTCCTACATTTGACTTCGAAGCCAGATATTCTTGGGTCTGTTCCCACCTTTGTATGTACAAAACAACTCCTCTAAACTTTTCCCCCCTCCACCCACTCCTACAGTCATGTACCCTAATGCCCTTAACTTGTCTCTAATCCAGTAAACAAAACTTCAGTAACATATAAACATGATTTAATGAAAACAAATCTTCCCCCAAATCTGCTTAGAGAAGCAGCGTCACAGAGCTGTAAGCAAAGATGAAAGACCATGATTAACAGGACTCACATCTGTACAAGGGAGGATACAACTTGAGTTTCTGCCAGCTTCTACCTCAGAGAGTACATGTACTAGATTGATAATAAAACTAACGACCGATCTGTACTGAGTACTTCCTGTGCTAAGCACTTCCCGTTCATCGGAATCTCACGGATGTTCACAATCATCTGAAGAGGTGGGACCCGCATGTTACGTGTTCCATTATCTGCATGAGGAGGAGACTGAAGTTTAGAAGGGTAAGCAACTTACACCTGATCACAGAGTGAGTGCATTGGAGAGTTGGGACACTGTAGGACAACTGGAGAAAAAAGCAAGGACTTGGATTACCAGGGTTCACATAGATGAACAAACGACCCCCCTCCCCCGCAAATAAGGAGTTTTAAAACACAAAAATAAAATGGGTTTGATTGATCTATTTGAAGCGTTTTCCTGGATGTACTGCTTGGGTTATTCATTCTCCACTGCGTTCTTTTCTGTGTAGACACCATTTATCGACCCCATAGTAAGATCTACCACACTTGAACAATGGAAACAGTAATCAGGAAAAATTCTGGTGTGGGGAGAGGAGGGAAGTGCAGATCCTAATGAACCCCAGTAGGAAAGATCAATTTGTGTGTAGGGCTTTTGATACCTTAATCTCACACATTATCTTCAGACAAGCCCTGGACCACCCTGAGAAGTTCTCAAGAGTGAAATATCTGTCATTTGGGGGACTTCCAAGATGCTAGTCAGAGCCTTCTCCTATGAGTCTTCAAACAAATGAGAAGTAGACACAAGGGCCATAGTGGGACTAACATGTCAGCATGATGGTTTGCAGACCTGGATGTGATCTACTGTAGAGCCAACACACAGGCTCCCTGTCTCCCTCTCTCTAGTGTCAGGTCACTCAGGCCGTGTGTCTATTGTTCCTGAGGGCATAGACAGAGTCAGCCCCTAGCTATGCAGTGGGAAGGTGTGTTTGCCAGTGGGAGCAGGAGCCAAGAGCAGCCCTGTACACTGTAGTCCCCAGGGAGAAAACGTTAGAAGACAACAGCAAACCTTTCATAACGTAATCTACCCATGGACATCACACTCCTCCTGCCTTCCCAGAAGTTAAGTCATCCCACTTCCCTCAGGAAAGAAGGAACGCAGGAAAAGTGGGAGGTGTATCCAATACTTTTGAGACAGAAGTCACCTTGTGCTATGGTTTGAATGTTTGTATTTCCTCTAAAATTCAAATGCTGAAATCTTAATCCCTCAGGTGACACTATTCAGAGATTGGCTATTGGGAGATGATTAAGTCATGAGGATGGAGCCCTCATGGATGGAATTAGTGGCCTAATTAAAGGGGCCCAGGAAGGGTAGGCTGTGGCAGAAGTAATTTGACTGGACCACATAGGAGAGGTCCTGGGTTTGAGTTCTGTTCCCTCCCTGAGCATGCCAAGCATGCATGCATGTGCCCACTTTTCAGGTTCTTTGGGGCTTTGGGTAGATTGAGGCTTGGGACTCTGTTTGGTGGACCTGTCTGTCTCTTTTTTTTGTCTCATGGAGGAAAAAAATTAACCTTAAAAAAGATGATAGAATTTTAACAAAAGAGAAGCCTAGGTTGGCTCCATGACCTGCTGGTTAAAGACACTGGATTCCACATGACCAACCATGTAGTTTGGAGTCCCAGAAAAGAGAAGCCTAGGTTGGCTCCATGACCTGCGGGTTAAAGACACTGGATTCCACATGACCAGCCATGTAGTTGGGAGTCTCAGGCCCAGTGGCTCGAGAAACACACTGGGCATGTATGTATGTGTGGGTACACGTGTGTGCATGCCTAAAGTCCCGAAAGGATAGAGATTAAGAGGATAAAGGATTGTGGTGTGACCATTCCCCATGGAGGATGCACTCTCTACTCCCTCTACTCTCTCTTTCTCTGGCAAGAGCACACACCATGTAGCAACGAGAGAGAGAGAGAGAGAGAACTGAAAAACTCTCACCCCTTTCCCCATAAGAGGAGCTAGCAGGAAGGCACCATCTATGAACAAGAAAGCAGGCCTTTACCTGACATTGAATATAACAACATCTTAATCTTGGATTTCTCATTTTCAGAACTGTGAGACAAAGTATATTTCTGTTGTATATAAACCCCCAGTTTACAGTATTTTGTTAAAGCATCCCAAATAGACTGAAACACCATTATTTTGTCTATTACTGCCATGAGGAATATGAAATGAGCCTTATCATGGTAGGTTTATCTGTCAACCTTCATCAGTTCTTCCCACATCCACACCCTTGCGGTGGCCTCATCACAGGTAGCATAAGTTTCCCCAACTCTTGGCTCTGACACTGGCTACTTGATTTACTTTCAGTCAATGGCATGTGTTGAAAATAATAATATGCCAGTTTTGAGATGAGGGGGCCGGTTCATAGGTAAGGGGTCCATAGGTTTCCGTTGACCCTCTGTATCCTGACATCACCATGAGAAGACCATGCCCCATTTAGCTTTGGGGCCTTAAAAGGATGAGGGACAAGTAGAAAGGGCATGGTAGGCATCCAAATGATTCCCAGCCTGAAAGAGCTGCCTTATCACGTCCATTCTAGATCACCCAAACTCCAGTCAACTCCTAGATACATGGGTGATATTGCATGATACGTTTCTGAGTTCTGAAGTTGTCCATCAGGCAGTAAGAGCTAGCTAATATGCTTTGCTTTCCTTCCTTATTCATTTTGAGTCTTCATGATCAAGAAAAGCCCCTGGAGTAGTGCATGTACTCATTAAGGATTTGTTGTTTGAAGTAATGAATAAGATAGTTTTTTTTTTTTTAACCAACTCATCATAATGTCTCATTAACAGCTTGCATATAGTATAATTCACCCATGTGACTTTGAAGAAGTAATCTAAAAAAAAAAAAAGACAAAACAAGGCAAGACAATACCCTCTAATACCTCCTTTTGACATGAGTCACTAAACATTTAAAGTCGGAGGAGTCAGAGCCTGGTATCGCTAAGCTACATTTGGCATCACCTGGAAGCAGCTGATATATCACACACTGTGATATGATTAAGCCAGGCTTCTTCACCTGCCACTGGACTTTGGTAGATCAAAATGAACCAACATGACCAAGCATTTATTTGGATTCCATGCAGATTCTGAATGCATGGCTATCTCTATCCCACAGCATGCCAGTCCAGCCAGAGGTCTCCAGTGGGAAATCAGATCCACCTTTGCTTCTCTTTTTCAGAGGAAGTTTTCTGACACATCTGAGGAAACACATGCCTTCCCATACTGGCCTGATGCTGTTTCCCAGAAGCAGCCTTCTGGAAGGTAGACCATCAGGTGGAAGAAGTATTCTTCAGAGAGCTGCCTTCCCAAGGGAATGGTGACAGCTTGAGCTTGACGGGGAGCCCTGTTGTATTCCGAGGTGTGAAGGGAAGCCATGAACTGTGCATATGCTGTACCATACAGTTTTGCCTACAACTGCTTGTAGCTTCATTGTAGCTGTGAATGCTCTGTTCCTCTCCTTTGCACCCTCGAAGATTCGCAAACACACAGGATTGAGCTGTGTGAGGCGTAGCATTCCCCATGTGGTAGGCAAAAGAGGACATGGGTCTGATGGCTCTACCCACTGGGATGGACAGGCATGTGTTAGGGAGCCTCAGAGCTTGTGGCTAAACAGCCCACCCATCTGTAGACAGCCTTCCTGCCATTACTGCATGAAAATATTTGGTTTCATTGAAGGTTTTTATCAGTACAGAGTTTACAAAGGCAGAATTCCTTTTAAAGGAAGAGGACATGAAAGATATTTAATCAGAGGCTCTATAAACTGAAAGACCATCAGCTGCACAAAAGGAAACACAGATTTATGGCCTATCTACATCCTAGGGTCATAAAACTACACCTACATAGGCTGAAAGACCACGGCCTAAAAACTAGGAATATGTTTCCGTCTTTGCCAGACAGAACAAGAGAACCTTAGAGACACTGTGAGAGGGAGAGAGAGAAACAGGAGAGGGAAGAAAGAAGGAGAAGGAGGGGAGGGTGGGGAGAGGAAGAGAAAGTCGTATCAAAATCTTTTTAGTGCACAAAACTACTTCTGTTCATCTTAGATTTGGTGAGCTGGATAATATTCTGTGCACGGCTCCTAAATGAATTATTAAATGTCAACTCAAGATGGCTTAACTAAAATATCCAATTTAATAACCAAAAGTATCTAAGGTAACAATAACAATTTTACAGGTGAATGTAGAGTTGTCAAGTCAAACCATTATAGACAAGCTTTTGGGGTTTTCACATAATCTCCCTTTATATCTCATCTTCTGTCACTAAATACCCACTCTGGAGAGCGTGTTCCATTTCAATAAAGATCATCCCTTCGGTGCAGGCTTCACTATTCATATTCGAGCCAGCAAACCTTTTTTTTTTTTTCTTCCTAAAATATAAAGCTAAACAAGATCTCAGTCATAACCACCAAATCTTTATTAATGCATTCCTTGTGCTACTTCTGAATATTAATAAAAATTAATAATTAATTTTGCCTTTGGCATTGCAAGATATACTAGTTTTAATTAGTGTACTGTACTCCTATACAATTAAAAAATAATTGATGTCCACGCTTATTGGCGGTGTCTGTGATCTTCTTTTCTGTTGTTGTCAACAAATGCCTTAAAAAACAAGTTCAAGAATGTTGTGCTGTCCGCTTGATTTACACACCCAAAGTAACAGGCAAATCTTTTATGATGAAACAGAACAGTTTTCTGTTTAAATTATACACAAGTATATTAACTAGAAAGAGAAAATTAAAAGCTGATGGCTACAAGGAATAATGGAAAGTCTATAAAAATGTTTTATCTATCAACAAATTTGCCTGGAAAATATCAATGGTTGGCACCGTCTCTCAGCTGAAACATGGAGAGGCCATCTTGGATTTGTTATGTCAATTCCATCAAGCATTTAATTCTGATGTCCTCCTTAATCAGCTTTAGTTATTTAAATTCAGCATATCATGTTACTGTTCTACTACATCATTTTAATTGTGCCATGAACTACTTTATTATAGAATGCTAAAGTATCTCCCTGTGGCTCCCTCTTCCTCTTTCTTTCTTAACAATGCAGACTGTAGAACTCAAGAGAGAACGCCTATGGTTAAAGGGGGGAAATAGCTTCCTTTGAAAATATTTGTTACAAGAATCTTGACTAGAAGGAGAGAGGTGGTTATTTTAGAAGAAAATAATTCCAATCCCGTAGCACATGTGTTTCTCAGTACTGTTTTGTAGGACCAGGATTCTTATATTTAAGAAATGTCCATTGAACAACCACAAACATGTCTGCAGTAACACGAAATAACAAACATAGAAGAAATAGACTTATTAACACACAGGACAAAGAAGAGAGTCAGTAAGATACTTGGATTTCACACTTCACCCTGACTTACTGGTTAGTGAATATTTTTATAAAGCAGAAAAATCACCAGTTGATAAAAGAATTCTTTTATTGGACTGATGATCTTAATAGCAGTTAAAAAAGACTGTGCCAAAGTAAGTCCTAAAAATAGGACCTTTGGTTTACTTTCCACAATAAAAACAAACCTTTAAGTTCCTTCCTAGAACTTATCACCAGCTAAAATGATCTTGGTTATATATCTGTTCATCATCTATACCTCCTACTAGAACCTAAGTGCCATGAGACCTGGCATTTTATGATTTTATTTACAGCTGCAATCACAGTGCCTAGCACAGTGTCTAGCATAGAGCTGCCTTTCAACAGTCATGGAATGAATTTGCTAATTCTGACTCCGAATATGTTTTTCTCTTTCTCGAGCCTTTTAGATTTTCTTTTTCCATGCCCATTGAATTGTGAATGGATAAAGAAGCTGTGGTGTAATCGTATAATTAATGTTCTATTACTCAGTAATGAAAAGAAATAATCAACTACTAGTACGCACAATACCATGAATGAATCTCAATTGTTGGAGCATTATAAACCAGTTTCAAAAGGGTACACACTGTGTGATTTAATGCATAAGGAATTCTGGAGTAGGAAAGGCTGGGTGTAGCAAGAGGAATCAGAACAGAACACGACTGCCCCTGAAGGAGATTCCTGAAAAGAAATATGAGAAAATGTTCCTGTGTCATGGAAATGTCGTAGATCTTGATTGGACTAGTGGTTACTTGAATGTATACCTTTGCTAAAAACCATCAAACCATATACTTAAAGGCTGTGCATTTAAGATATGCTTTCATTAAAAAATAAAAAATCTTAGGGGACCAGCAGTTAGCGTAATGGCTGTGTCGCTGGACTCCCATGTAGTCGACCACGATTTGAGTCCCGGACCCGGTGGCTTAAACTCACAACGGGCACGTGTGCGTGCGTGCCCAAGATACTGAGAGGAGAATTGAGGAGCAGGGATTGTGGTGTGGCCATCCCCCCTAGGGGGTGACTTCTCATTTTCTATCTCTTTCTCTCTCTGTCTTTCTGGTGAAAGCATGCACCCTATAGAAAAAAAATTTCCAAATAAATAAATAAATAAAAATCTTAGTAACATGCATTTTCTTTCTCTAGTCCATTGGTGAGTGAAGGAGGAAACTTAGAGAATGTATACAGTTGAGATGCTCTGGAATTCCTCTTCCCACATTATAGCCTCCCTCCCTGGTCCCTATATAGTGCTACTAGACAGTGGAGCTGATAGATGTCACAACCTCCCTCTCAACCTTAGTACATTTTCCTATCTGGCTTCACCCTAACCTAGCATCATGACTTGCCTCTCTGACCTTATGCACAGGTAATAAAAGCAGGGGGTTATTTATTCATGCATGCCCTTTTGAATGCAGGAAAGCAACTGGTTCTGTGGCTAACCCAGTGAATAATATTCTGAACCATCATGAAAATGCTGTGGTCTAGGCCTGTATGCCCAGCTAGTCTGCTCATCAATTTGTACTTCTCAAATTGGGTCAGAGAGAAAACGGACAGAGCTTTCTGTGCCTGTGATCTAAATTCTCAAAGTGATCTAAATTCTATTAACACTGAGAAATCTGGAAATTCCAAGGCAAGCCTTTGGCTTCACTGGGACCACCTTTCAGAAAAGCCCATTGACCTATTTTCTTCTTAGATTTTCTCTTTTAATTAAAAGGCCCAAATTTCCAGGGTGTTAATCGAGGATTATCTTGAGAATTAAAATGCTGGGCATCACTCAGAGAACAACCAAGTCAAATGGTGAACAATACTTCTAATCTGTGCTGAACCACTTCTGAAGGGTCTTCTTATTCCAGAAAACACTGCGCAACTCTCTCATGTCTGTAAGAAGGACCAAGGTAAGTGAGAGGGTTTTCTGACACTGAGCCATGGCATTTGGGAATGGTCATTTGGGAATTCTCTGTTGGCTTCTTATAAATATTGGATCATTCCTTCTTATTCCAGATAGGCCCTGTTTTTTTCACTGGGACTTTGCCTTTTTATTTTCCTTACACACGGGTGATGAGTGATGAGTACATATTTGACTGGCGGGGCTAGGACTCATGGCTTGCTCTGAGTTTCCTGTTCAACTGCTGTTCATGACCCTTAGAATACACGGGGACTTGGAGGTGTCTGAACTGCACTCTGTGACTCAGATGTTACGAAGTGAGTTTTGCGCTTGGCCTTAAAACCCTACCCTGTGGCGTTAGCCAGTGGTGCAGTGGTAATGCCATGCTCTATGAGGCAGACCCTCATAGGAAGGTTCCAGGTTCATGCCCAGAGATCTCCCGAGACAGCCGGGTGAGCATGTGCTCATGATCTGGGGCTGTCTGAAGCTGAGGATAGATAGTGGTATGAGGCCAATATTATTATCTTTCTTTCTCTCTCTTGCTCATGGAAGAAAGAAGGAAGCAAAGAAAGGAGGGAGGGAGGAAAAAAAAATTTTTTTTGAAAGCTGTGGTTTGGGCCAGCCAGATAGCATAGTGGTTAAAGCAGCTGGATCCCACATGTCCAACTTCACGGTTTGAGTTCTGGACCCATTGGCTTGAAAAACACTCCAGGTATTTGTGCATGCATGTCCAAAGTCACAACAAGAGAATGGAAGAGAAGGGAGGAGAATGGAAAAGAAGGGATTGTAGCATGGTCATCCCTCCTGGATGTGATTTCTCTCTCTCTCTCTCTCTCTCTCTCTCTCTCTCTCTCTCTCTCTCTCTCTCTCTCTCTCTCTCTCTCTCTTTCTCTCTCTCTCTCCAACCAGTGTATGTACCCTACACCAAAACTACAAGAAACTAAAATAAAATAAAAAGCTCTGGCTTATCCAGAGCCATCTTTTCACTAATTTTTTTGGTGTTCACCCAGGATAATCTAGATCATATCCAAAATACATCAAAAGGAAAACTACACAGTCCTCTGGGCAGCACAGAATCTAAGAGTGACCTATACAGACAGCATGCGAGAAGTGCCAAGGGGGTGTGGGGCACGGTGTTGGTTAGGGCAGGAGGAAGAAGGCTACAGGGAGAGCAGGGATGACCAGAGAGGGCATCCTGGAGGAGTAAGGCTCAGGCTGCATCTCATAGAGGGAGACGATGTCAGGTGAAGAAGGATCTTCTGGGTTCAAGCAATGAAATACTGTCTGGTGAGAGAATGAGTTTGAGTTTTTGTTTGTTGATTTGTTTTGTTTGTTTTATCAAAAGCAGTTTCTCCCTGGAATTCAAACATCTTCATCTCAGCTTTGTAAGTCTGGCCATCTCCTATACCCTGTGCACATGTGTCTACCTAAAAGCTTGCAGAGGGACAGGCCAAGGGCGGCAGGTAGAGATAAGCACTGCACAGACCAGGGAAATACATCAGGCAGTTGT